AGGGAAGGGAAGGGAAGGGAAGGGAAGGGAAGGGAAGGGAAGGGAAGGGAATTGCTGAGACATTCTTTCCCCAGCACTACTGAAACTCAGTCTGCAGTTTCAAGTTTGGGAGGAAGAAGAGGGAGATGAGTTCATTCATTCACCTTTCCCTTCCCCAGAAAACCAGAGTGCAAAACACAACCAGAGCAGCCTGAAGGAGCCGTCTCAGATGTCCCTTGTCACCACGGGAGGTCATGTGTCAGAGGGTGCCTGGCAGTGGAGCTGAGGGCTCTGCAGGGGCTGCAGTGACAAATGGCAAATGCATTTCTGGCTGGTTTGGGCAGGAGGCCCAGGCAGTGACACACTGGCCATGGCTTGGCACAGTGGCCCTTCAGCAGCCACATGATGCTGTAGGTGTACAGCTGACCTGCTCCTCAGATGATTCCCTGTGGCTGAAAAAAGGTGGTGGTGATGGAAGGTAAAATGTTGATACAGAATTTGTGAAGCTCATCCCACAAGGATGAGAGGTACCAAAGGGGATTCACCAGGAATCAAGCAGTAAACAGCAGACTTCAAATCATAACTTGTCAATGCAGGCTATTATTATTATTATTATTATTATTATTATTATTATTATTATTATTATTATTATTATTATTATTATTATTATTATTATTATTATTATATGTTGTTGTTGTTGTTGTTGTTGTTTCATTATGTCATTATTATGATATTTTGTTATGTTTTATGTTGGTTTATTATGGCATTATTATGTTATTTTATTATGTTTTTATGTTGGTTTATTATGTCATTATTGTATTATTTTATTATGCTTTTATATTGGTTTATTATGTCATTATTATGTTATTTTTATTATGTTTTATGTTGCTTTATTATGTCATTATCATATTATTTTATTATGTTTTATGTTGCTTTATTATGTCATTATCATTATGTTATTTTTAAATAATAACACTGATCACTCATTTGATAGGCACACCACCATGAAAACCTCATGGAAACATCCATCAAGTAATGCAAGTAAATGTGGGCAGAACTGACAGCATGAAAAATGATGCTAAAGAGGCGGAGCAAGAGAGGAAAATAAAAAAATCAAAATCAAGAGCAGGTGCCAGTTGTAGACAGAAATTCCCCTCTATATAGATTTAGTCACATTTTGATTTTTTTTTTTTCAGCTCTCTCAAGTTTGCTCTTTGAAACGGCCAAACAAGTTGTCAAATGAGGAAAAAAATCCCACAATATTCTCAGGCTTTGTTGTTTCTACAGAGACCAGGGAAGGTGAGGTGCCAGCAGAAGATGATGATGAAACTCCTCAGACTTTCTCCATGCAGGAACTGTGATCATGCCTGGGAGGAAGGTGAGGGTGAGCTGTGGGACAAAGCATGGAACTCAAAGGGCTTTACAGACTGAACTTGCCAGTTCAAAGAAAAATAGGTTCTGAAATCCCTCCAGAATTGTTTAATTTAAAAATTAAATTGTTAAATTAAACATTTGACAATTGTTTAATACAACTGTTTAATTGTATTAAACAATACAAAGTTTAAAATTTTTACATTACTTCAGTCAGGGGTTTTGTTTGCCTTTGCCCAGGAGAAAGGAATTGAATTTTCTTCTCAAAGAACTGTATCACCACTTGAGGCCTGATGAGTTTAACACCTCAACAGACTCGGGGTAGCACAGGAGAAATAAAAAAGATAACAGCCATTAATGAACATCAACTCCAGACAGCACCCCTGGCATGGTCAGAGACAACTGGTCTCAGAAAAGATCAATAAGAGAACACAGAATGAGAACCTATTTAGCACTGAAAGCAAAGGGATCAATAACCAATAGGAAACCAAACACTAAGAACTGCAGAATTTGGGACCAATGAACATTGAACCAATTAATTTCTCTGGGTTTTGACCATATAATTAAGTGAAAAATCAAGTAAACATCATGTATGATGGCATGATTTCCTCCCATGACCCAGCCAATGTGTGGATGAAATTATTTCTGTTGCACATCCTGGCCAGAAATAAAGTGATGCCTTGATTCTCTAACTAAAAAATGTTGTTGGAGAGTTTTTGTTTTTCCCTAACTTTTGGTGACAGTCTGACAACAGGCTGGACTGGCCTGGGGTAAGACTTTGTGCTCTAAACCTCAGCAGATATCTGCTGCTCCATGTGAGGAACAGTCTGGGGATAGACTGGGGGTTTTAGGTAAAACCTGATCACCTTCAAGGCAGAGACAGATTTGCTCTAGTTTCATAAAATTTCATAAAATCTGGCCACTGATGGGAAGGCTTGCCAGAAGGAGGCTTAATGCCGTTGGTTTCAGGGTAAAACTAGAGACTGCCATGAAAGGAAGGACAGCCGAAAGAATAGGGCAACTGTAAAACAGTGCTGGTTCAAGAAATATCAAAATAAAGTGCCACCTTGCTGATTTTTCTATGCACCTGAACACTTTGTAAACAGAATATGCCCTGGAAAGGTCTTTTCTCTTGTCCACCACAGTACTGACAGAAAAGAACTAAAATATCCTCAAAGAAAAAAAAAAAAACCACAAAAACCAAAAAACCCCAAATCTCACAATGCCAAGATGATCTTGTACAATCAGAACTAAAGCCTCTTCTCCAGTGACTTGTCTGATGTCACGCAGCAAATGTAGGACAGACACAGGATCCTGTGCCATGTCTTGCCCCTGGCGCTGGATTTCTTCACCTCAAGAGCACTTTTCCCTACCCACCACTCACCCTCACCAAATTACACCAAATTCCCTGGAATATCAAGATGGAGTGAAAGCCCAGCTCTTAGCACCTGGCCAGTTGCTGTATTTGCTCCCCAGTTCTGCTGTGGGACACATTATCAAGGCTGGATGTTGATGGACAATCACCCAACTCCCTCTGGAGTGTCCCTTTGTGTCCTTAGTGGCTCCACTGGTTTAGGGCAGGAACACCATCAGTGCAGAGCAGCCCAGGCAGTCACTCACCTTTCACTGAGAGCTGATAAACCATTTTATCCCCCTCACAGACACACTCATAGACTCCAGCATCCTCCTCAGCAGTGCTGCGGATTTTCAGGATGTGCCTCTTCCCCACGGTTTGGAACTCGTATTTGTCACTGGGCTTGAGCTCCTTCCCATCCTTCATCCACTTCACAGTGGCCTCTGTGTCTGAAAGCTCAGCCTGGAGTTTGGCTTCCTCCCTCAGCCGAGCTGAGACTTTTTCTACATCTTTGGTCTTGTTGGTGAATCTCACTGCAGCTCCTGCCAGGACAAGAGGCTTGGTTATTTTGAGTTATACCATGATAACTTATCCCTGATACAGGCCTGCTGTAGACTGGGAGGTCTCTGAAGGTGTTAGATCCTGTTCCTGCCCTCACACTCTGTTGGAAAACTGATTGCTGAGAATTTCAGATTTCTGTGCTGCCAGGCACTGACACTCAAGAGAACACTGCATTGACCTGAGGCCATAGAGAAGCTTCCAAAATGAAATGATAGAACTGGGATTGTGGGTGTGGAGTTTGAACAGAAATGTGTGATATCACAGGGTGGAAAACTCAGAGTTTAAGGGTTTAGAATATAGAAATATATAGAAAGCAAGATGGAGGTTTTGGGGCAGAGGCTGGTCCTTCTTCACCTCTTCTCCATGGGTTTGGGTGGTTTTGTGTCATTGGATAAAAAAAGTCCCCATTGCAGCCACGGGTGGTTGGTTATTGGGTTAAAAGTGAAAATAATTGAGGTGTCATTTCTTAATTGATCCTTAGAAGGTCTTGCAGAGAGAGAGAGATGGGGGCTGCATTTTTAGCTTGTTAGAGAAAAGTGCTTTACAATTCAACTTACATGAGACTGTAACAACACTTATGTAAATACTGCGCATTCTTTCTCAGTTCAGAAAACTTGATCTGTTTTTACTGACAGAGTTACTAAGAAAAAAAACCCCAACACATTTTTTTCTACTGATAAATAATACTTGAAACATGATTTTTCAGAGACCTCTTCCCAAGTCAAACATCCTTCCAGAATAAAGGCTCATTATGAATTTGTTATGTTTTGCCTTGCAATGTGGTAGGTACAGATGTTACTGTCATTTCACAGAGGAAACCTTGATCTTAAATCAAGCTCCAGCATACTAACTTTATATCCCACACATGGTGGACTAAAAAACCTGCAAGAAAAGCTTTGTTAGTAATGAATGCTCTTTTACTTTTGAAAGATTATTACAGTCAAAGAGACTGGTCAAAGCTAGAGCTGAAATTACAGCTTTAAGGTGAATTGGTGGCAGATTTGGTGACAGAATCCACTGGCAGACGGTTGTGAATGACATAAATTTGACAAAAATTCGTGAGCTGATGTGAAGCAATCTAGTTCAGATACCACCACCTGGCCAGATCAACTCCCTCTGAGCTGTGAGGTCATTACCAGGACACACATTAATTACATGACACAGTTCCAGGTGCTTGCCACAGACCAAGGAAAGCCTCCAGCCCCAGTTTCAATCCTTAAATCCAGCAACCACCCCCTGAGTGGGAGAAGAATGGGCAGCAATGACAATAAATACCTCTCACTCTCATCTTGGTGCTGGTCTCAACGTCATTGGCAACAAATTTCACTTCTGTCCCATCATCTTTCCTGGTGACGTTTTTAATGACCAGAGTGTGAGTGGTTTGGGTTCTGTTGATAATGTAGGTCTCACTTTCCTGTAAGACTTTGCCATTCAGGTACCAAGTGCCAGAACATGTCTTGGTCAGGTCAACAGTGAACAGGGCATCCCCTCCAGGTGCAACTTCAGCTGTTGTCAGGGGGTTCTTCACAGCCAGGACGGGTTCTAGGGAAGAACAACACACACCTCTGAGAACAACACTGTCATGGAGGATAACTCCTCTTAGGAACCCAATTGTCAGGGTAAACAAGACGTGAGAATTAATTAATGCAGCTTTATAAAATTGTCATACACTGGAGGAAAGGCATGGTTGGTCTAAAGGATTTGTTTCCTCCTACAATAGGTAATTGATTTCTGGAGTCCTGTTTCTGCAGGTCTTGAAAAACAGGCATATTTTACTGATATTTTCTTAATCCCTAAAACATATAAAGGCCTTGGCCAGAAACACCTAAGTCCCCTTAGGTGTTTCTGGCCCATGCTTCTCCAGAGATCTAAGCAAGTCCCCTACAAGTGTCTTGTTTATTTGAATAGCCAATATTATTCTTAGATTTCAGAAGGAGGACTTGTAGACATCCCTACGAGTCAGTTCTAGATATTCTAGCACAATACAAGCATGTTCAGACAGCGAGGGATAAGGATGACACAATCACAAGACACAGCATGCTCAAAGTCTGTGTGGGTCTTCAAAATCTGTACAGATATTTTCTAGTGCAATGATTCAAAGGGAGAAGAAATCCCATTGCACCCAATGACTCTATGGACACATTGGCATCCTAGAAATAAAGCAAAACCCCTGGATTTCTCCTAGAAATTCTTAGATTAAAGAGAGACTGGCTAGAACTTGGTTTTCATGATGGTATAATCACCCATAAATATTCTCTAGGTGCAAGATCGATATGTCTATATATTGAAAACTGTACCATAAGACCATCTCAATTTTTCTTCTAATTGCAGGGGCTGAAGAAGCATTTAAGGTTTAAGGTCCAGAGCAGGGAGCTCTGCCTCCACCACAGCCTGATGTGGGATATTGGAACATGAACACACAGCTCCACCACAGAAACCCAACCACCCTCACCGGGGTGGGTTTGGGCTTTTTCCTCCCTCCCTTTGCTGAAGGTCAGTGGTTGGCACGAAGCAGGAGAACCAGCAGTGAAGGCAAAGAGGATTTGCTGGGCTATTTCTTCATCCTTAAAGCCATGGGAAATATTTTTAAAGCCCCCATGTGTCCGACCACCCCATTTAGTGCTGGTTTCGTGCTCACCAAGGTGCAGGCTCCCAGGGAACTCCAGGTAGGGGCTCTGTCCGTAGGCATTGACAGCAGACACTCTGAACTGGTAGTCAGCCTCTTCTGGCAGGTTGCTGACCATGAGCTCGGGGCTGGGCACGTGGGACTCGTGGCACCTGACCCAGGTGAAGCCGGTGAGCTTCTTGCGCTCCACGATGTAGCCGTCCACCGGGATGGGCCGCTCCATCCTCGGAGGGGACCACGCCAGCGTCACTGAGGTTTCTGTTTTATTCTTCACCACAGGGTCAGACGGGGGTTGGGTGGGAGGTTTTTTGGGAGCTGCGCAAGGGAAGGAAACAAAACAAAGCAGAGAAGTGAGTTACATCAAAGGGGAAAATCTAAAATGGTTTATGCTGGGCTAAAAGTCCATCTTGCTTAATAAACCTCAATAAAACTTTGATGTGAGATGGAAAAGAAAGAGAATGGATGGAAGATGCCTTGAGGAAGTTTTAAACAAAGATCATAGATGCATTATCGTTCCAGATCAAGTTCAAATTTGGATGTCCAATAATTGTATTGCACAGCTAAACATATGTGGTTTCTACACTGTCACAGACATCTTTTCATGAAAAATCCTTTCCTCAGGATTTTTCCTCCTAAGAAGCTGAGAGGCCTCAGGAACAAAATGTAAACATTGATTATCTGCTGCTGTGGAATGCAACAGGTGCATCTGGGATTGGGCTCATGTGGTTGTTGTTAATTAATGGCCAATCACAGCCCAGCTGGCTCGGACAGAGAGCTGAGCCACAAACCTTTGCTATCATTCTTTCTTTTTCTATTCTTAGCCAGCCTTCTGATGAAATCCTTTCTTCTATTCTTTTAGTATAGTTTTAATATAATATATATCATAAAATAATAAATCAGCCTTCTGAAATATGGAGCCAGATCCTCATCTCTTCCCTCAACCTCGGACCCCTGTGAACATCGTCACACTACACAGTATTAAAACTGTCATCACAATCAGAGAGACTTCAACAAACATTTTGTAGGCTTAAGTCTTCAGTGCTGGATACAGACCCACATTTCTGCCCTTCACAGCTCCTGGGCAAAGCAGACTAGCACCCAGCTTCTTATTTTCACTCTGCTGATGCTTTTACCCATCTTCTAAGGTTGTTCAAATCTTTTAAGAGTTATGGAGAGCCTGGCTTGTTACACAGGCTTAGATGTTCCCTGCAGCCCCTTCATTTGGGTATCTGTCCTACTCATGAATTTTATGTTACCCCCACTCAGAAGCTGTAACTCCCAAAAATGACATCATTTAGGATCTTTGTTTTACTAATTTATGCAGAACCAGTTTTTGGGACTTGGAATTTACTTCAAAAGGAAACAACAAAGATGTGTCCCCACCATGAGAAGCTACAATTGAGGAGATGTGCCTATTTTATGGTACCTGAGGCTACAAACATATTCCTAGAGGTATTTGCATAATGAATGCTTATTTTCACCCTTTCATTCCTCTTGAACTTTTTAGAGAAGCCTGAAGTCCCGTCAGGATTATTCACTATGTGCTGCCACTTATATGGTCAAGAGGAATTACCTGACGTGCTCTGGTTACACCTCTACTGGCATGGCCCAGGATTAATTTCATTTAATTTTGGCTATCTGAAAGGTGTCTGGGTGAAGTCAGTCAACCAGACTCCAGCTGTGATCCCATGAGCAGCACACTCAGGAGCAATTAATCCAGCTTAAAGTAGGTGTGGGAGGGGGGTGAAACACACAGTGGACATACTCAAGAATTCCTGACTGTAGATGGAGTCTGTGGATGAGCCTAAACTAAAAACTGAGCTCTGGGACAACTGAATCTCCTTCCCGCCTCTGTTTCCCCATCTTTAAAATGGGCGTGGTTTTGCATTATTTATCATCTTGCATTAACAATGCAAGATGACAAATAATAAACAAACATTGCCTGTACATTGTAAAAGATATCAGAACCACCACCAATCCCACCCAGCTAATTGAAAAAGATGTGGACACAGCACAGAGGATTCTCCAGGCAGTAAATCCGATATGCACAAAGTGTAAAAATAGGAAATCTCAAGGCGATACGCTTTTCCTTCCTTACAGAAATAGACACAGAAGTGGTTTGGGGTGCACAGTTACCAGCCTGTCAGTAACTGCTGGTCACAGATAGATGTCAAAGGTCCCATTAGGGTAACATTAAGCTGAACACTAAGCCCTGGAATGGGATCTCTTGACCTTGCCATCAGAAATGGTAATGCAATGTTTTCTTCAGCAATACCTGTTTGTGGGAAGACAGTTTCTTATAATTTCTATTCCATGAATCAATCCTTTCTTCACAATTTAAACAGCAGGGTCTGAAATCAAGCTGAACCTTATTGTCCCCATTGCATAGGTGCTTGTTTGGATGGTATAGCTTCTCAAATACCTTAGAAACTGTCACAAAACCAAATGTGACACTTTCCTCATTTTTTCCTCATTTTAGTTCAATGGTTTCAGAATGCCCACACCAAATTTAGATAACACAAAAGTTACATATCTTTTAAATAAAATATTCCTTTTTGCCACTGACTGATGCAGTGGTGAGAAAAAGAAGATTTACTCTTCCCAAATTGTGACTGGAGTGGGTGATTTTTTCATATATGATCCAGAACTGCAACAGAACCAGAAATCATATGTATTTATGTCTTAAATAAAGAAGATTTCACCTGGGAAATGCAGTGTGATCAAAATAATGCCAAATAAAATTAGGCAACTTCACCAAAATTTCGTTTCAGGTCCAGTCTTGATGATGTTGCACCTGCTGCTACTGCTCTGTCAAGTAAGAGAAGATTGTGCCATGGTCTTTCCCCAGCACTACTTTCACCCAGAGAAATCATGGATGCTCCACCCCTGGAAGTGTTCAACACCTGGCTGGACAAGGCCCTGAAAATCTTGGTTGTATGGAAAGTGTCCCTGCCCACAGCATGGGGTGGAATGAGGTGATCCCATCCAACCCAATCCATTCCATGACTCTACAGATATTCTCTCTGTTTGGATCCCTCCAAACATCTCACAACATTCACAGGCTGTTGCCTTTTTGTGGCAGACATCAAACCTTCATCTGGTTTTGGACACCAAAATTACTACGGCGGCACTGAGCAACAATGCCATGGGAAGACACAACACCAAGGCCCAACAAAAATAGAGAAGCTTACTGGTCACAGTAAACTGAGTGGAAGTCCTATTTGGATACCTACAAACACCTCACAACACCCACAGACAGGCTGATGGCCTTTTGGTGGCAAACATCAAACCTTCAGCTGGTTTTGGACACCAAAATGATCATGGTGGCACTCAAAACAACAACGGTGCCATGGGAAGACACAACACCAAGGCCAAACAAAAGAGAAGCTTACTGGTCACAGTGAACTGGGTGGAAGTCCTGCTTTCATCAGCCAGGAAGGCAATCTCCCCAGCATCCTCCACCTTGCACTCCCGGATGGTCATGGTGTGCTGTTTGCCAGAGCAGGTGATGGAGATGCGGTCGCTGGGCTTCACTTCCTCTTTGTTCTTCAGCCACCTGACGTTCTGGCAGTCGTTGTCCAGCTCCACGCAGAAGGTGGCTGTGTCCTTGATGAAGACAGCAGTTTTCCGTGGCAGTTTTTTTATGATGTTCCCTTCAGATAAAATAATCACAGTCAGCAAACGGCAGATATTAAACGCTTTGGACCGTCCAGACTAAAACAGGACTAGCCCACACTCAGTCAAAATATTGTAGACACCATGCAGACATGTGAAAATAAATTCCAAGGCTCTGAGTCACACAGAACAGATGACCCCAAGGACTCATTTTGGCCTTCAAAGAGAGAAAAGCAAATCTTATTTGACTGCAGTCACTCAGGTTTCTTTACCAAGCAAAGCCAGATGTTGGGTAAACACAAAATATATATGGCCTTGCATGAGAACAGATTTGACAGCTTTCATTGTCCATATATGCTGGAAATTCAAATTAAACTTTGCTGAAGTAGGTCAGTTTTAAGTCAGACAGGTCTCTCCTTTGCCTTTAGGATTTCACCTCCATCAAAGTAAATCACATAATCAACATGGCAGACACAGAAGTTACCCAAATTAATGAGAAAGACACTGAAAAATCTCAAGTTTCTTCTTAATGTCAACACAGAAATTCACATTGAATGAATTTATGCCCTTCCCAAGTGACTGTGATTATCATCACTTACTAGGACAACCTCAAAACTATAAGATGTGAATATTCACAGAAAAGACTGGACAAACCACAAGGAGACCACCCCAAATGACCAACACTGACTGGCTCCAGCTCCAGAGCAGTCCCTGAGAGGTGAAAGAGGCTTTGCCCAGGCAGATCACCCAGAACTGTTTAATGAACAGCATTGCTGAACTCTCTCATAAAGTAACAGATCATGCACAGGTTTCACCACAAGGTTCAAGACCTGATTCTCTGCTTATCCTCCTCCTTGACCTCTCTGCCCTCAGCACTGTGCTCATCACACAGCTCTTCACCTCTGGCCAAGCTCTCACATTGTTCCAACCCCACCTTGCTCTCTCCAATCCCCTCCAGGGCAGACACAAGGCTCCCCCAGGAAGGCTCTGCCTCCTCTCCCTGCAGAAAGCTCCACCTGGCTCAGTCACTCTCTTTTGGATGGAACATGCCATTACAGAACAAACAAGTGAAAAAAATACCAGCTGTCCTGCTGGGAGCAAACACACAGGGGTGGGCTGGTCCAGACCTAACGGAAGGTGCGACAAAACGATGTCAGTCTGAGCTCTCCCCTATCTCTGGGCTAAGTTTTCCCTTCTGCATCCAAACCTAACAGAAGGTGCAACAAAAAGATGTCAGTCTGAGCTCTCCCATGTCTCTGGGCTAAATTTTCCCTTCTGCATCCACCTCTGTGCACTCTCAGCTCTTTACTGGTGGTACAAAAGGGAATTTGCATGAGGATGCACATCCCTCAGCTATCTCGTGGCAATTTATATATGAAGAACTCCTTCTGGTTTCACTGGGAGTGTACTCAGGCTTCAAATGGGTCAGGACAAGATGAATCCTGTAGTTGTGGCAGCCTCCAGTGCCTGCAGCTCTGGGGTTTGTGTCTGCTCACTGACAGACACCCACACCATACCCAACTACACCTACTCCTACTCCAGCCTGAACCACCAGACTCAGGACACCTGGACATGGCCATCCACACTTTGTCCTTTCCTTGTCCCCTCCCAAACTCCAGAGAGCAGCTCCAGCTGCCAGGGATCTGGAGCTGTGTTTTCCAATCTAAACCATGCTGGTGTTGACTGCAGCCTGCATCACACATCTGGCCACAGCCACCCCTTTCCACTGTGGTCAGCACCACTCCCAGACAAAAGTCACCACTCTGTTCACTGGACAAGATGGGTGTGACAGTGCCAGGTGACATATCTGATGCTTGGGGTCATGTTAAGGTGATGCCTTAGGATTTAGATTTTATATTTTTCAGATCCTGTACTGCTTTAGTATATAACTCTAAAACTCCATAGCCTGTCAGCTCCTGTTCTCCTTTTTAATTCAGACAAAACAACTCCTCTCTAGGCCTGAAACTCGGGGACACCTGACTGTCTCAGGCCCTGAGAGATGTAAACAGTGAATTCCCCTCAAGCTGCACCAAGGGAAATACAGGTTGGATATTAGGAAAAGTTTTTCACAGAAAGAGTGATAAAGTTCTGGAATGGCTGCCCGGGGAGGTGGTGGAGTCCCCATCCCTGGGTGTGTTTAACAAAGCCTGGATGTGGCGCTGGGTGCCAGGGCTGAGTTGAGCTGTTGGGGCTGGGTTGGACTCGATGATCTTGAAGGTCTCTCCCAACCTGGTCATTCTGGGAATTCTGTAAACTGGGGGAAGAAAACTTGGAGTAAATGACTTCATTATCTGAAGCTGTAATTGGAGGATAAACCCCTGCTATGTAAATGGACCAAACGTATAAATGTGCAAAAAACTCATGACCATCATCATTCTGGGTATATCCCCTCTCAGAGGTTTCTGACGGCCCAAGGTGAACCTGTTGAAGGCCTTTAATAAATATCCACTTTTATTCTCTTAATCTTTTCTAGCCTCTGCTTTGTGTAGCCATTTCAAGGCATCAAAGAGAAGTCCACAGGGTCAGGCCACAGCTGGAGGAAGCTTTTTTCAGCAGGGGTTCCCACTGGGTGACATCTTAGGGCCACACAGCAGGGACAGGCTGTGTTGTATGTGTCCAGAGACACCCTGCAGGAGCCCCAGGGACCACCGACCACATCTTCACACCACGAGGGACTCTGCTCCTCTTCAGTGCCCACATGGGCATGGCAAATCCTGCTCACAAGGTCAAACCCAGAGTCCCACGCGTGAATCCCACACTTTTGGCCAATCTGAAATACCGTTCTTACCTAGAGCAATGTGCCCTCCCATGGATGGAGTGACAAAACTATCCTTTGTCCCCTTAAAAAGGAAATAAGCCCAGAAGTTTCTCTCCTCAATTAGGTAAAAAGATATCTCAGAGGACCTGGGGGACTTCACCTCAAACTTAGGGACAGCTCATTGGACAGAGGCCAAAAAGGTCCCACCTGAGCAATTTACTAGAAAAAAAAGAGAACAAAGAAACTGATGGCTTTTCTGAGGTGTTTTACCAGGGGCAAGGAACTCTTGCACCTGGCTGGGTTTTCCTCTGTAAAGAGCTTTGTTATTATGCCTTTTTATAAAACCATTTTGTTTCCAACACTACCACAGAAGCCATCCTGCTGATTTTATGCCTTCTACAGTACCTATCTTGGGTGTGAAACAGACCTCCAAGAGCTGATGAGACCAGGCTGGAGGAGGCTCCCATTTCACTTACCTTGGACAGAGAGCTCTGCAATGGTCCTGCTCCCTTCCTTCATCTCACAGATGTAAACAGCATCATCGTCCGTGGTGACGTTCTGCACGGTGAGGCGGCGGTAGGTGCCCTCCTCCTCGATGTTGTACTTCTTGCTCTGCTGCAGCTTGGTCTCCTCCTTGAACCAGGCTGTCTCTGTCCCAGCCACGGGCACCTCGCACTGGAACGTGGCAGATTCCTTCTCCCGCACCTCGAGGTCCTTCAGCTTTGCCTTGAAGGGTATGGTGGGTTCTTAAGAGGGGAAAAAAGAGGAAGGAGAATGAGAGATGAGGAGAGGTTTAGATGGGAATTCAGGAAGAAATTCTCTTTGAGGGTGGTGAGGCCCTAAAATACATTGCCCAGAGGAGCTGTGTTGTGGGTTTTAGGATGAGGTGAGAGATGAGAATTGACCCTAAGTTTTCAGAAGGCTGACTATTATATTATACCATATTATATTATACTATACTATATTATATTATATCATATTATACCATATTATATTATACCATATTATATTATATTATACCATATTCTATATTATGGGTGTGGTGTACTATACTATATGAAATTATATTATACTATACGAAATTATACTACACAAAATTATACTGTATGAAATCATACTGTTATTATACTATACTATATGAAATTATACTATATTATATGAAATCATATTGTATGAAATTATACTAAAGAAAGAGAAAGGAGACATCAGAAGGTTAGACAAGAATGATAATAAAAACTTGTGACAGACTCAGAGAGTCTGACACAGCTGACTGTGATTTAGACATTAAATTAAAACAATTTACCTGTTGAGTAAATAATTGTCTAAATTATATTTTAAAGTAGCAAAACATAAAGAAGTTGAAGGTTCTCAGCTTTTTAAGAGGAAAAAAAAATCTTAGCAAAGAGATTTGTCATAAAATATCATGGTAACAGAGCTGTGGCTGCCCCATTCCTGGACATGGTCAAGGCTAGGTTGGCGTAAAAGGCCTGAAAAAGAATCTTTCCAGAATTGGTTTAATTGTGACAGTGTTCGCAGGGGTCTTAGGATGAGAGAAGAGACAACGATTTAACTCCATGTTTCAGAAGGCTTGATTTATTATTTTATGATATATTTTATATTAAAACTATAATAAAAGAAAAGAAGAAAGGATTTCATCAGAAGGCTGCCTAAGAACAGGAAAAGAAGGAATGAATAGCAAAGGTTTGTGACTCGGACAGAGAGTCTGAGCCAGCTGACTGTGATTGGTCATTAATTAGAAACAACCACATGAGACCAATCCTAGATGCACCCTGTTGCATTCCACAGCAGCAGATAATCAATGTTTACATTTCGTTCCTGAGGCCTCCCAGCTTCTCAGGAGAAAAAATCCTAAGGAAAGGATTCTTCAGAAAATGTGTCTGTGACAGTTTAATGACAAACAAGCTGGCCATGGGGCGGAGCACAGGGCAGTAATTCCAGGTGGGAGTGAGCAGCTGAGCTGGTGCAAGAACCAAATATTTTAAGGGTCTTACAGCAAAAGTGATCTGAAGGGGCACAGAGAGCTGTGAGGTGGCTGTGCACAATCAGATGTGCACAAAAGGAGGAGTTTTCTGTTCTCTCCACCAGCCTCAAAGGCTCTACAGCAGCTTTTGCCCACAAAAACACAAGAAATAGAGAATGAGCCCCAGTCTCCCAACTGCCTCAGCCCTCCTCCAGCAGTGGGGCTGCAGTGCTCTGGCTGAGGGCCCAACCCAAGCATAGAACAAAGCCACCAAGCAGCTGCATGACAGTGAGGGAAGTGACTCCATGAGCTGAACAATGTCAAATTCCAGCGACAGCTGCGCTGTGACATCACCCTGATACCCCAGCCCTGAAGTGGGGAAAGGGGAGCTGGACTGAAGAGCACAGCTGGTGGCCAGGGCCTGGTGCCACAGTCGTGTCACACATGGGATTAGCCAGTGCTGGAACACTGCTCATGATTCATGAGAGATCATGCCTTGATATGTACCTTCCCCTCCCAGTAATGGCTGTGCCAGCTCCCAGCTGGTTTTTGTGACTCCATCCTGCCTCATCACCCTCACAGCAAAGAATGTCTTCCTAATATCTGATATAAAGCTCCCCTCTTTCAGTTTAAATGAGGTAACAGACTCTAAAGGCTTGACAGGACAGCTGGAGGGAGCAATGCCATGGCCTACCTTTGTTATCCTGAGGGTAAAACCTGACTGGGAACCCATACAATACATCCAGGAACAGGAAGGTGACACTAACCATGTCAACTTGGAATTTTTTTTTAATGTTATGCCTAAATACACCTCGGTTGAAGGCAAGTAAAAGCCTTGCCTTGAAAAGCCTTCAGCTATGGTTACACAGATCTCTGTCGCAGACATCTTTTATGAAAAATCCTCTCCTTAGGGTGTTTCCTCCTGAGAAGCTGAGAAGCCTCAGGAACAAAATGTAAACATTGATTATCTGCTGCTGTGGAATGCAACAGGTGCATCTATGATTGGGCTCATATGGTTGTTTCTAATTAATGGCCAATCACAGCCCAGCTGGCTCAAACAGAGAGCTGAGCCACAAACCTTTGTTATCATTCCTTCTTTTTCTATTCTTAGCCAGCCTTCTGATAAAATCCTTTCTTCTATTCTTTTAGTATACTTTTAACGTAATATATATCATAAAATAATAAATCAGCCTTATGAAACATGGAGTCAAATCCTCGTCTCTTCCCTCATCCTTGGACCCCTGTGAACACAGTCACAGATCTGCTCTGCCCACACTCCAGATGGTGATTAGACTTTTTTCTTTTTTTTCCTGACATTTTTTTCAGGTTTAAATAAGATATTATGATGAAATTCTTTATTCTGAGGGTGGTGATGCCCTGGCACAGGGTGCCCTGAGAAGCTGTGGCTGCCCCTGGATCCCTGGAAGCATCCAAGGCCAGGCTTGGAGCAACGTGGGATAGTGGAAGGTGTCCCTGCCATAGCAGGGGTGGAAGAAGATGAAGTTTAAGGTCTCTTCCAAGCCAAACCATTCTGGGATTCTGTGAGGCCAAGCTTTGAGCAGAGGGATGCAGCCCCCTGGCAGCAGGGAGGCTGGAGCTGCCACTGGGAACACTCAGAGCTGCACAGGGGCCAAAAAGAAACGCAAGCTGCACCTGAGAGGCACACAAGTGTATTCCCATATTGGAGCAGCTGCCACATCATTAACCCCTCTCCCTTTACAGTCACTAAGCAGTATCTAAAGTGAAAAAAAAAAAATAAAAAGCTATTCCAGGAAAAAGCTCAAGCACAGCAGGGTTGTTTGACTCTTAGGAGCATGCTGCAGTAACAGCACTGCTCTCCCAGCCAGGGAAAGGCAGTGCAAGGCTATCTTTGGCAGCTTGGGGGTCACAGATATCCTCTGAAAACAACTCTGCCTTCGTCCTGCACACGTCTTATCTCCCTCTGAATGGAGCTCAAGAGCAACAGCAGCTGATAAATTGAGCTGAAGCCTGGGATGAACCCAGCCCAGGGCTTTTGGAGATGTCAGAGTGGTTCCAAAACCCACCAGCCTCCTCCTCCTCCTCCTGAGCATCCCTCCATGCTCTTTACAAGGTCTAGAATGTGCCTGGTCAGGTTGATTTGGGTCAGAGGACTACAGAAGGACCAGAGGTGTTCTGAGAGCAGGCACCCCAAACCATCTGGAACATAACCAGCACCACCATTTTCTGTTTTATTTGCACCCAGGTCAGAGAGGTGCAAATAAAACAGAAAATAACAGAGCTGCCCAAACCTGCCCACTGGGAAAAACGTAAGAGCCACAGCAGAGCAAAACACTGAGGGAGCACAGGGCCAGAGCAGCTCATGGAATTAGCAGGAAACTGCAAGAACTTGAATCAGAGATTCATTTTGCTGCCTATCCTGAGGAGATATTTCTCCAGTCTGTCATAGGCTTTTCTGTTTGGTCCACAGCAAGCAAACTGGCAATGAGAGGATGTTATTTTTAAAAGGCAAGTCCTGCTAACACATATTTTACTAAGAATAGGTGCAGCCTGCAAAGAAGCCCAATGTTTTCTTAACCTTATCAAGGCACATCTGCCATCTGAACCTCCCTTTTTACTTGCCTAGATTTCCCCTTCCTTATTGCTGGAATTCTCACATTTGTTATTCCAGAGGCAAATTTTCCCTCTGCCTAAAAAAAAGATCCAGGAAAGGTTAGAATATGGAAAATCCTCCCAGTAAGATCTGGCTAAATGTGGATTGAAAAGCTTCCAACATCTTCAGCCTTTGATCTTCCTAATTACTGTGCTTTCCCAATTTCCTTTCTACCTCCTTATTTCTCAAGTTGCAATTCTCTTTCAGATTTCCAGTGTGACTGCCATGACAGTGACCATCCAAAATCCCATCTGATCAGAGGGAGAATGAGGTTGCCTCAGCACCAGGGTGTTTTTCCCATCCCCATCCTGTTTGGCTTGCAACCTTTAACCTTCTCATCCAGTATCTGGTTACTTTATTCAGGGACTCCAGCGAACACAGCTTGGCCAGGGTGGAGACCTGAATTCTGTTCTCACCAACTTTACACACGGTCCAGGGCAATCTCCAAAGCCTTCAGCAAAGCCAAGCTGGCTATTTATGTTCCTTCAATTCTCCCCACTCCTTGATTTGTTAAAGGTTTATTCTTGGGCAATTCAACTGGGACAATTGGGACAATTCTCCCAATTCCATTTACAGCTCACATCTCAGTGTATGGATTGTGATTTTACCTCCATTCCAGACACATTTCTGAATCTAATCAAGCTCCAGTTTTCCTTGTTTAGGAGAGTGATTCTCTGCCCTGCAGCCTTTCTTTGTTTAAGTCTGATTCACTAAATCTCATTTAGGAACAGCTCAAAAATCTTTTTTTTTTTTTTTTTCCCAGCTCAGTGATCTTTAAGGCACAGGCTCAACAAAGAGTTCACAAATGTTGGGTTCCTGGGTCCCTAAGTTCCTAGGATGTAGACTGACAGAACATAGGAGTTTTTCTATGGATCTCCCATCCCTGGAAGTGTTCAAGGCCAGTTTGAACAGGGCTCTGAGCAACCTGACCTAGTAAGCGCCATCCCTGCCCATAGTTAGGGGTTGGAACCAGATGTCCTTTGAGGTCCCTCCCAGCCCAAACCATTCTGATCCAATGATTCCAGGGGTGGCTGCTTGGAGAATTCACCCTCTCCTACATGGCTGAGCAAAGAGAAGTTTGCATGGCAAGAAGATCTCCCTCCCTAAGCCTGACAGCAGATGAACCAATGGCATCACCAACGACACAAACAACAGAATTAAAAGCTGAACAGAATTAAAAGCTTTTTTCATCTGCTGCATCACTCTGACCTGTCTGGGGAGGGCTGAGAAGAACTTCTGGTGACACAAAGGAGAGTCATTTATCAGGGCCTAATTATAACCAACACACGTAGATTTTCCATGGCAGCCTCGGCCTGGACAGGGAGCCAAACGTGGCACAGCATGAAAAATAAACAATCCATAAACATTTCCACTTCAGCCTCCTGACTCACAGGCAGCTCTGAACAACGAACAGGGATCAATAACCCTTTCCCATGGTGGTTGCTCCCAGACTGGCTGCTCCCCTGGCTTTCCTCACCTCCTTTGGAACAGGTTGCAGCCATTAGAGCAATAGGATAAAAACAGAGGGGTTTTATATAATATTTTTATAATTTTTATAATTTTTTAATATTTTATAGAATTTTTATAATAAAAACAGGCAGAGCAGGGGAGGTTTGTTTATGCAAGGTGTTGTGCAGGGAAATGAGCTTGATCCATCCTCAAAGTGATCCCCCACGAGGGTGAGGGCCAGGATTGATCCCCAGCTCTGAGCCCCAGCTCATGAGGTAATCCCAGCTTTATGGAACAGGACAAATGCCCTTCCCCACGCCACTCAGCACCTCCAAGGGACAGCAAGGGGTGGGACAAGTGCCAGTGAGTTCCACGGATCAGGTGTCACTGATGGGCACAGGGACTCTGAGCCACTTTCCAAAAAAGGGAAAACAGAAAATCAAATAACACTGAGAGGCTTAAAGACAACTATGGAACACAGATAATTCCTACTTAATTGTGTTTCTAATTTATTTTGCTGCCAGAGAAAAATCATCACTTTTACCACTCCAGTGGCAAAATCTTTTGCCTCTGACAGCTCATTTACAGGTGCTGCTCGGATTCCAAACTGCCTGTTGTACCCTTTGCCAAATGGGAGAGCAGCTGGAAAATTTAGAGCTTCCTGGATTGTTCAAGGCCAGGTTGGATGGGGCTTGGAGCAACCTGGTTTGGTGGATAGCATGAGGCTGGAATTAGATGGTTTTTAAGATCTCTTCCAATCCAAAACATTCTGGGATTCTGTAAAAACTGTGTGTCACACTTTGGTTACCATTCTGAAGAACTAGGGCTGACCTGCACAAGTGTGGAGTGACCCTCTGAAGGGTCACTCTGACTAGGGTGACTTCACCACTGACTAGGGCACAAAAAGGCATCCTGGACCTGGGAGGTTTTCTAGGATTCAAGGAGCACAGACTATCCAGCAACCCAAGCTAGGAAAAGGCTGAAGAGCCTGGCAAGAGCCAGGCTGCTGGTGGGTCACTGTACAGGAAAACTGAGCTGGACTGTAATTAGAGTTGCAGTAGGTCCCCCAGGGGATCTGAGGCAGCCTGACATGCTCATCTTGTAGGGAGGGGTTTCCACTACTACTACAAATGGCACGTCTGAGTAAACCCCATGGTGATCACAAACCCAGATGTGATTAAAGCCTGGAGCGTGAGACAGGGCATTGGCAGTCACTGACCCAGAGCACGGGAATGGATCTCTTACATCACTGTGAAACCAGGACTGACAGGAGCCTTGGGGACCTGGTGCACCCCAGCTGCCCCACAACCAGCTGATGCCTTGTGAGGGCTGACCTAGAACAGAGACTAGATGGAGCTAAGGAATAAAGTAGGGATTTATTAGGAGGCTTCAACAGATCCACCTTGGGCAGCACAAGAGCCCAGCCAGAGCTACACCCTAGGGGAACTTAGAGTGGTTACTAAATGGTCAACCGCTCATGGGGTCTCTCACTTTGACCAGTTCTGCTCCATTTACATATTGGAGTGAATTGTCCAATTCCAGCTTTAGCCCATGCAGTCTCATCTTTCTTGTTTTCCTCTCTTTGGTCCACCTTTGTTTATGCTCTTGGGCCTGAGATTTGGATCATTTGTCCTTGGTGCCCAGCTGGAGCAGGAATTGTTTTGTCTCCCTGCTCTGTGCACAGAGCTCACCACCCCCTGATACGAAGCCAGACCCACACACTAAAGCAGCACAGAATTTGAAAAATATAAAAGCTAAAACCTGAGGCATCACAGCCAGTTCTGCCTCATCCACCCCTGCCTGGCACCTCTTTACTGCCCTTCCCTAAGAACCACCAGCAATGGGACTCTGTCCCCAGGTCATCTACTCAAGTGCCCAAGCCCTTTCCACCAGGAAAGCTTTATTCAGCCTTTCCCAGCTTGGGTTGCTGGCTAATCTGTGCTCCTTGAATCCTAGAAAACCTCCCAGGTCCAGGATGCCTTTGTTTGCCCTAGTCAGTGGTGAAGAACTTGCCTTCAGAGATTCACTCCACACTTGTGAAGGTCAGTTCTAGTTCTTCAGAATGGCAACCGAAGTGTGGCACATCTAACACTCTCCCCTGCAGCAGTTTGGAGGCAGATGTTTTGTTCAAACCAAACCACCCACCCCAGCCCAATTCAAAGTTGTATCCTTGCAGGCACACCCACCCTGGTGAGAACCACACCCACCCACCTTTGACAGTGACCAGCACAGAGCTGTAGGTCTGCCCCGCCAGGTTGGAGGCCGTGCAGGTGTACAGCCCGTTGTCCGTCTGCTTGCAGAAGAGGATCTTCAGCACAAAGTTCTCCTGGTCATCCTCATAGATAACATGCCTCCGGCCCTCTGCAATGACCTCATTGTCCTTCTTCCACACAATCACAGGCTTGGGCTCTCCTGTCACGTAGCAGCTGAGCTTGGCGTGCTTGCCCTCGGTCACGCTGCAGGTGCGCGTCAGCGTCCCGAGCGCGGCATTGCGCGCGCCCTTGGCCAGGCCCGCCGCCCGCTCGTAGTCCCGGGACAGGCCGTAGCCCAGGCTGGACAGCCCCTCCACGGCTGAGTAGGCAGAGTCCAGAGTGCTGTGGGAGATGTCCATCTTCCTGATCTCCTCCCGCCTCTTCTGCAGGTGGGATAGCAAGGAGGCCGTCTTGCCGCCGCTGTCGGGGTTGGAGGAGCCGCGCGTTTCCACCACCAGCGCGGCCGAGGCGCTGGCGGAGCCGATGAGGTTCTCTGCCCGGCACGTGTAGGTGCCACTGTCCCCCAGCTGGGCGCACTGGATGGTGAGAGCGTTGGACTCGCCAGCAGACTCGATCTGGAAGCGCCCAGCGTCTGCTTTGTTCCTCAGGTATCGCCCATCCTTCTCCCAGTTCACTGAGAGGGGAGGGCTGCCCTGGACTTTGCACTTGAACATGACGTCTTCTCCCAGGGTTACTTTGATGTTGGTAGGTTTCTGGATGAAGTAAGGAGCCGACTCTGTGACCGTGGTCTCCTCTCCCACCTTGATGCTGACAGCAGCAAAGGCCTCCCCGATGGTGTTCTTGGCCCGGCAGATGTACTGGCCACTGTCCTCCAGGCTCAGATCGTAGATGGTTAGCCGGTACAAATCCCCATCCTCTGTGGTTTTAAACCTTCCCCCAGACTGCACTGGAAGTTTATCCTTCTCCCAGCTCACCATTGGGATGGGGTTTCCAACGATCTGGCAGCTCAGCGTGGCGTCCTTCCCTACAGACACCATGAAGGCCTTGGGCCGGGTCAGGAAGCGCGGGACCCCGCTGAGCGAGCTGTAATCCATCCTGGCTTCCTTCCTGCAGGGGCACAGAGAAAAGGGTCAGCAGGGAGCAGGGAAGAGGGTGCACCCAAAAAAAAAGAAAATTAAAAAAAAAAAATCACTGCAATCCCCTGGTATCAGAGTGTTTGTCACCTGGAACCCCCATGTGTGATGATGTTTCCCTCATCTTCAGGACAAGGGAAGAGATGAGAAATCTTGACTCCATGTTTCAGAAAGCTGACTTATTATTTTATGATATATATTATATTAAAAGAAAATTATATACTAAAACTCTACTAAAAGAATAAAGGATTTAATCAGAAGGCTTGCAAAGAAAGGAAAAGAATGAATAATTAAATCTTGTGACTGACCAGAGTCCCAACACAGCTGGACTGTGATTGGCCATCAAGTAGAAACAATTCACAGGAGACCAATCAAAGATGTACCTGTTGCTTTCCGCAGGAGCAGATAATTATAAAAATATATATATAAACAATATTATTATTGTTTACATATCTTTTCTGAGGCCTCTCAGCTTCTCAGGAGAAAAGTCTTAGCAAAGGTATTTTTCAGAAAATATATCTGACACACCCATGTTTTCAATGCCCTTCTCATTATGGGTGAGCAGCCTTGGAATATTATTGGTTTTTAGGGTTTCTTATATTTGAGCTTAATAAACCGTTCCATAAGGCAGCTCACTTCCCCACAGAGCCTCTGGGCAAAAAAGAGCTCTTTGGGCAGTTCATACAGAAGGAACATGACGATGCCTTTCCTCTTTGGCACTCAGAAAGTGACCTGCACTAAAGCTGTGGGACAGATGGACTGGTTCTGCAACCACGAGGAACAAACCACATTCTGAGAGATGTGTCTGCCCATCAAGGTACTGCCTTCATCTCAGAATTTGGGTTGGAAAGGACCTTGAAAATCATCTAATTCCAACCCCCTGCCATGGGTAGGAATGCCACCTCCTAGACCAGGTTTCCCAAGAAGATTTGAGTGCACTGTTTCTCTTCAAGCTGTTGTGATAGATGAGTAATGCAATGATTGACCCTCAATTAATGGACAAATACCACATGTATAGGTTAAGAAAATTTTCTAGATTTATAGTTATGTTGTACCCCCTGGTGTGGTTATCAAGGAACAGCTGCAGTTGGGACATCTGGGAGGGCTGGATTGTCACTGTGGAACACCTGACTTCCAACCAGGATTTGAGGAAGAGATCTCCACCACTGGACAGCAAAGAAGTGGCTGATGGACAGAACTTTGGGAGGGTTTAAAGGGTTAAAAAGGGAAAACCTCCATTGTGAGGGAGCTGAGCACATGGCAGGGAAAATCTTTTGCTCCGGGCACCATAACCTTTTTTCTTTATTCATTCTTCTGTTGTATTTTTGATAAGGTTTAATAAACCTTCCTGAAATATGAAAAGTGAGTAGCTATTTCTCACACTGTTTAACCTCTTTGGCCTCATGATACCAGACCCCTCTGTCCTGGCAGCTCCTGCCTGACCATGGGAATGGATCCTACTCCAGGTGAGCACATCCCTGCTTTTTCACCTCCAAAGTTCTGCACAGAGCACAAGGACCAGGGCTCTGGGTGCTGTAACTCAGAAAGGAAATTAAACCCAGTCAGTGAGACAGAAATATCCTTCTTAATCCTGCAGCAGTTTGGCTTCCCTGCTGGCCACACATCCACCCACTCTCTCACCCAATGGCAGGTGCTCTCCCCAGCTCCAGCAGAAATCAATAGGAGCAGGCCAAAACCCTGCTTTAATTTCTCAAATCACCATTTCTCCATCCTCCTCCAGCTCCTGTCAGTGCATTTTTGTTAATGCACAAATCACTGATGGCATCAGGGACTGAGGGTTGGATCAACTTGCTGCATGACCTTGGGACAAATCACTTGTTTTCCCAATTTCTTGTCTCCCTTCCTATTTCTTTATATCAAGACAGGGATGGGCTAGCAAATAATTATGTGCACAGTGTATACATGACAATGTACTTGCTGAGGTAAATGACAAATAGAGCATGAAAATTAACAACAGATTACAAATTTAATCCAGTTTATGCTTCTGGGGATTGAAAAATACAAGTTTACCATTAAATCCATATACTGGAAAAGGGGTGGCACAAAAATACAAAATGGTATTTGCTATGAGAGCCCAAGAAACTTTTGGAAAACTGCTTCAGGCACAGGGTGGGATTCTTGGGGTTGTCCTGAATGGTCTTTGTGGGTCACTTCCAGCTCAGGATATTCCATGATTTTGGGAGCATTATTATCATTCCAATAGTGTTGCTGAGCCAAACTTGAAACTTCATCTGGGTCACAGACCTAAGGCAAAACCAAATGTAACCTTTCTACATTTAACAGAAAATATACCCCTTGTCCTGTCCTGTGTCTCCCACTCCAAAGAACACACAAAATGACAAGGAGCAATCAAAGACTTTTCCTTTTAGATGAGATCAATCCTTTCTAAACTAATTCAATTTTGGTTGCTTTTGTTTCCCAGTATTGAACAAATTTAATTATTCTGCCAAAAATCTTTAGAAAATAAAGAAACAGGTTTCAAATATTAAATCTGGGAGGGGAAAAAATTATCAGGGAAAATTTACTTTTAGTAAATGTTAAGAGAGTAAAGAATGATTGACTGCAGTCATCAGGGCTAAGACCAACTGACTTTCTGTCAAGTGGCCACCTTCAATACACAGATCACTTTTTCTCTTGCTTTTAAACTGGTCTAGAAATCTGTGAATTAGTTTGAACTTCTCTGGACCCTCTTACAACCCCAACCCCTGCCCTCAGCTGAGCTTTAAAATGTATTTTCCATAAACGCTTGTGCAGCTGCAAGCAGAGAAGCTGCATGGAGGGTTAGAAGGGGCAGATAGGAGCCTGGGGCTGCAGCCAAAGTACACTGAAGTCAGTGGAAATTTCCACTGAAGTAAATTGATTGACAATCAGAGTCTCCTGCTCATTTGGGGAAGGACCATTTCAATGCTCACAAGGGGATGCTGAGGTTCAGCTCAGCTCTGGAGAGCCCAGCAGAAGCCTTTACTGCATTAATTAAGAGTTAACAACCAAAACCCAGACTCAGAGATCATGTCCTAATATTTCCCAGCCATTAGCTTGAATTTCAGGCTGCACTGAGCCATCACAGCACTTGGATTCACCTTCAGAAGACATTGCCACATCTCACCCTAGTGAGAGACACTCTAGTGTGTCCAATAGAGACATCACTCTTATTTCCAGCTTTGCAGTGTCAAAAAAGAGCAGAAAATTAGAGTTGCTTCACTTCTCCATCAAGTTGGGCTCTGCATGACATGGACAAGTGCCTGGAGCACTGAGGTGGCCACAGAGACACAAGAGGAGCTGCCAGGGACCTCTCAGCAAGCAGGGGTTTCTCTCAGCCACCTGTGTGCCATTCCCATCACTTCCACACCTTTCTGTGCCTGCAGGAGCAGGGTGAGGGCTCCCAAAGCCTGCCTCTTATGCTGCTCACTTCCTAAAGTGCATTGTTCTCTCACTGCTAAGCTGTGCCTAAATAAACGCACCCCAGATGCTGCCTGGTACCTCTGAGAGTCAGGAACAGCCAAAAAACAGTCAAAAAACAGAGTCAGGAAACAGCCAGAAAACAGCCAAATATCAGCCAAAAAAAAAAAAACCAGCCAAAAAATAACCAAATAACCCTTCCAAAAAAAATACCCCAGCCAAAACAACCAGCCAACAAAGCTAAAAAAAGCAAAAAAAAAAAGCTTTAAAAAAGCCAAAAAAAAACAAAAAAACAAAAGAAACCAGATAAAACCAAAACCAGCCCAAAAAAATAAAAAAAAAATCCAAAAAAACCAGACAGTCAGGAACAGTCAAAAACACCACATGCCTGTTGGTTTTGCTCCTGAACCAAACTGGTGCAGCAAATCCATCCAAGTGGCCTCCAGGCCCAGCCTCCCTCTCCCATGGCTCCCAAAAACTCATCTGGTGTTTGCAACTCCTCCCCATCCAGTTCAAGCTCCTGTGTTCACAGAACTCCTAGTGTGGGGTGAAAACCACATCCCCTGCTTTACCTACACCTCCAGCAGCTTTTACCACGTGCCTTCACACTCTATAAGGTTTTTACACCTTTATAAATGGCCAGGATGACAGAAAAAAACCCAGGGATCAGTGAAAACAGTGTGTGCTCGTTATTATAGGTATTTTTCTAACATGGAAAGAAAACAGGGTTTATTCCTTGCTCTGCTGCTGGCTTGCTTTTATAATTATGAGACAGACACTCCAGTTAGTCCCCATCTGAAAAAGAGGGGGGAAAACTTGTTTTATGGTTGTGGAGAGCATGAAATGCAGTAAGAGGCATGAAATCCTAACCTGCAGCAAGGATGAGGCTGTGTGTGTATCTAACACATCTGACAAATTAGGGTGCACAAGATAAACATTTTATAATTTAAATAAGATTACATTTTATAATTTCATTTATAATTTAAACAAGATTACATTTTATAGTTTCAAATGGGATAAAACCCATCACACTGGATTAGGATGATCAATAGACTTAGGAGCCAGGAGAGGACAGACTTGTGAATGCACTGAAGGGACAAGATTTAATTTTTCTACTGTGTAACTTGTCAATCAACTTATTCAATAATTACTCTGATTTCAATTATTTACAGGTTCATTCAAACTTCAAAAAAAGCCCAGTAACTCTGAAACTTAAATTTAAAAAATATTAACTCTCTGCAAGTGCCAGGCCAGCTGCCTTGGAAGCAACAGGACCAGCAACAAAGCATGAATAAAGCCAGTCAATGCAAATGCCCTTTCCAATAAATCTCAGGCATTTGCCAGTGTCACATTTCCCCATGTAATCCCTCTGTGATGAATCATTTGCAGCAGAGATCACATTTCCATCCTGGGCATTTCTGAGCACGCCAAAGGCAAACTGGCAGCACTTATAATTTTGCTTTATGTCTTTATTCATTCGGATTTTCGCTGGTTTGTGTTTGGGGGAAGAGGCAGAACTGCACAGAGCTGTCAGATAAATA